ATACTAATCCATGTATTTGAGGTTTAAAGATGGAGCAAAATATTCAACCCAAATAATTAACAAAACCAAACTTTAATATAAATGGGGTACTGGAATGAACAGAGTCAGGTTTCATGGTATCCACCAGAGGAAGTTCTTAGCACCTGAGAGGGAGACAGAAAGAAACCAAATGAGAGTCTTGGTCAGGGCCTGCTGCCAGCTGAGTCTGGAGGCACTGCTCAGCAGTGACAGAGACTAGGACAAAACTCAGCTCGTCTGCAGTGCATGAGTTACTAAGAAAACCTAGAATCTACAAAACAATTCTAAGTCAGACATTCTGCAAACCATTTGACTTAATAGTCCAACAGAAAGAATACAGATATTTTTTCCCAAAACCCTCAAATGAGATATAAATACTTAAGAGTAAATAATTTGTTCAGCAACAAAAGTTTAGTAACAAAAGCTGGGGCCATGCCCCATCACGTGCTTCAGGCACAACAAGTGTCAGTGTCAGTGTCAGAAAGGGGGGCATATCCTGGGACTATGAGGCCAAGACACACCAGCCACACTACAACTGTGCTGCAAACTCCACCATGGGTTCTGCCTCTGTCCATCCAGATATAGCCCAGGGGACAGCCTGCCACATCACCACCTTTCCCTGGGGAGTAACAGCAAGCAGGCCTGGTCATAGGAGTCCACTCGGGCACTTTGACAGGTCTGCAGCAAGATTCACATCTAAGGACTCACCCAAAAAGCCTCAGCACAGCAGATGGCTGCTGGGTTTTTGCATGCCAGGCCTCAGCCCAGACCTGGGCTGGTGCTTCAGGCTCATCTGCCCAGTATCCACAGAGCAGGTAGGATCCATCATCCTTGAGGATAGGCACGATGACATCTGGCCCTTCCAGTGGGGGTGGATCTCCACACACCCTGAGGTGTGAATGCAGAGGGGAGGAAAGAGGTAGAAAAGATGAGGGCTTAGCACAAAGTCATTCAGTTCCAACCCTGTTCCACCAAATCTTCCCAGCAGTCTGAAAGGGTCTGTCAGCCAACAGGGAAGGAATCAATCTCTATGAGCCATCTGATCTAGATCCTCCCCTGGTGCAGACAAAGTGAGCCTTCACACAGATAGCTAAGACCCAGCAGGATGCAGAGAAGGATGGGACAGGAAGACAGAGGAGAGAAGGATGGCAGCCGAAGGGCAGAAGGCACTGAGGATCAGAGGGTTCTGTGTCCCTCTCCCAGCCCCCTGGGACAGGAAAGGACAAGCTGACCAGAAGCCTGTTTAGTTCAGGGAGAAGAATCCCTTGGTCTGGAATGCTCCCAACCAATGAAAGCAGTTTAACAACCAAGATGCCCTTGGCATTGATCCCATTTCACTAAGCACTGTGGAGAGCATTGGTGCATTGACATCCCTGTCTTTATTGTTGTACTGCAGGGATGTGGATGAAGCACAAGCAGAGGGGCGAGGGAGCTGCCAAACACTTTTTATGGAGGTGACATAAAAGTGTGGCATGAGGAATGACCTCGCATGACTGGACCCCAGGAAAACTTATGTAGGTTCCAAAGAGGATAAGTAGTTGGTGACCTGCACAGTGTTTGTGACCTGCCTCAGCACATGGGGCTTTCAAGACATGTCCACAGTCTGTAGGATGAGATTTGAATGGGAAAATGGCTCATGGGTCCCTTTCTCTCCTCCCGTGTCTGCATGCCAGATGTCCAGAGTAAACACACCCTCAACCCATCTGTAGATTTACCTCTGATTAGCCTCGGCCTGGTCTGCACGTGCCACCTTCCCTTCCTCCTCTTGTGATGAGGGCTCTTCCACTGCAAGATGTGCCAATGGGGCAAGGACATGGTCAATGACGATGACGAACAAAAGCGATGGTATATTAAAGCTCAGGTACCACCCACAGTCATACAGGGATATCTATGTTGTCCAGCTGTGGCACTACTTGCTTAGCAACAGCTCCCAAACAGGAGGACATGCCTGTTTAGACAGGTCCTCTGCCCAATAGTGGAAATCTCCCTCCCTGCTGGGCATGTCCCTCTCACTCATTTGGCATCCTGATCTCCAAAAGTGATCAGCTGCTCTCAATCCCATGGCTATATGTTGTAAGTTCCAGGTGTGTGTACTTTTTTAAGATTTTATTTATTTTAATTGAGTTAGGGTTACAGACAGTGAGAGGGAGAGACAGAGAGAAAGGTCTCCTTACATTGTTCACTCCCCAGATGGCCACAACAGCCAGAGCTGCGCCAATCTGAAGCCAGGAGCCAGGCACTTCTTCCTGTTCTCCCCATGCGGGTGCAGGGCCCAAGGACTTGGGCAATCTTATATTGCTATCCCAGGCCATAGCAGAGAGCTATACTGGAAGTGGAGCAGCCAGGACTAGAACAGGTGCCCCTATGGGGTACTGGCACCTGCAGGCAGAGGATTAACCTACTGCACCACTGGTGCTGACACCCAGATGTGTTTTAAGTGACCAACCACACAATGGGGGCTCATCCAATCCTAAGCCATGGGTAGGGACTCCCAGACTCCTCCACCTGCCAAAATATGAACATGTGAACCCTCAGGGCTCCACACACACAGGAGCCTTTTGGTGCCATGCTGACACTGTGGTTCTTAGTAGATCCTGAGAGGCACGAGCCAGCACAGGCAACCACAGGATGGAATCCTCAGTACATTCCCTAGGATTCCAGAAGATGAGTGGAGTCAGAGCACCAGGCCAGGGTTATAGGAGTGCACTCAGGAGGTTTATCAGGTCTGCAGCTAGAGTCACATCAAAGGACTCACCGAGAATGGCCTCAGCACAGCAGATGGGCTGCTGGGCTGTAGGGTGCAGGGCCCAGCCCAGGCCTGGACTGGGGCTTCAGGCTCATCTGCCCAATATGCACAGAGCAGGTAGGATCCGTCATCCTTGAGGATAGGCACGATGACATCTGGCCCTTCCAGTGGGGGTGGATCTTCACCCACCCTGAGGTGTGAATGCAGAGGAGGGGACAGGAGGAGAGGAAAAGATGAGGGCTTAACACAAATTCTTCAGTTCCAACCCAGTCGCACCAAACCTGCCTAGCATTTTGAAAGCATCTTTCACCCAATAGGGACAGGATCACCCTCTAAAAGCCTCTGATCTAGATCCTCCCTGCTTCAGACACAGTGACCCTTCACACAGATAGGGCAGACCCAGCAGGATGTAGAGAAACTGGACAGCAAGACAGGAGACAAGGAGGCTGTCAGTAGAAGGCCAGAAGTCTCACTGTGGAGCACAGGGCTCGCCGCCCCTCTCCAACACTCACCCCCCTTCCCCAGGGGGGACAGAAAAGGACAAGATTGCCAGAAGCCAGTTGTCTAGTTTCAGTGAAAGAGTCCCCTTTGGTGGAATTCTCACACCCTCCTAAAGCACGTTAACACCACAGAGCACCTCAGGATGGTCCCCATTCCCTCAGCACTAAGGAGTGCATGGGTGCAGTGGACATTCCCTGTATCTACCATTGTACTGTGGGGTGGGGGGGCTGATGAGAGACAACCAGTAGGCTGAGCGAGTGGTCATTCTCTCAATGGGCCACAGAGAGTCAGTGGCATTAGGAATGACCTGGCCTGGTGACTTTCCCAGGGAAACTTCTGCAGCTGTCCAATGGAGGCTGGACATGGGGCTGACATGGAAAGTGTTTGGGGCCCTCCTTAGACAGAGTCTACTTGGGAGGAACTTTGAATGCTATAAATGGACTCCAGTTGCACATTGTCTCCCACCGTGTCACAAATCTCCAGATATTCACACAAAAAAAGAAAGAAAGAAAGAAAGAAAGAAAGAAAGAAAGACCCCATCTGCAGATTTACCTGGGTGTGGCCTCAGTCTGCTCCACAGATGCCATCTCTATTTTCTCCTTCTGGCTGGAGGCATCTTCCACTGCAAGGAGGGCAAATGGGGCAGGACATGGTCAATGAGATGGCATGCAAACACATTCTCATAGTAAAGCACAGGTATCACAAATGCCCCACCAGCTTCTGAGGACACCTATGCTGCTCACTTAGTGAACAGGTGTTAGCAACAGCCTCACTCCCAGGGAACATGCCTACAATGGCAAGTCCTCTGCCTACCAATGGAGAGCTCCCTGCCTGTCTGGAGTGTGATAGCCACAGATCAGGCATCTGATCTTCCATGAGGGGCCAGCCGCTTTCACCATGTGGCTCCTTGGTCTATGTCTGATGTGTCACAACAAGGGGGCTCATCCCCACAGCAGTCATTGGTGGGGGACTCCTGGGCATGTACACCCTGCCACAGTATGAACATATGAAACCCACAGAGCTTCACACACACAGGAGCCTTTTGGTGTCATTCACCAGTGGCCCTTAGTGGATCCTGAGAGGCATGAGGCCAGCACTGGCAACCTCAGCATGGAACCTCAGGACATGGCTCAGGGTTCTAGATGAAGAGTGACATCAACACAATTGGAATGAGAGAGACAGCATGCCCAGTTCATCGGGATCTGAGAAAGATATCAGGCTGAGAAGGTAACCTGAGTAGAGCTGTGGTGGCAGGCATGCAGTGTAATGGCATCTAGGGCAAGGCCAAAGGTGCCCCACTCTTCCATGTGTAGGCTAGAAGAAATCCTTGACACATGCAGGAGCACAGGCTGGGGCCCTGCCATCACACTTGCCTCTTATACAGCAACATGGTCAGCTTGCTTGTCAGAAAACGGAGCATAACCTGGGGCTCTGAGGTTATGAAATACCTGCCTACACTACATCCCTGCTGCAAACTCCACCCAGGGCTCTGCTTAGTCCACCCAGAAGTAGCACAGAGTTCCTGCCACATCACACCTTTCCCCAGGGGTATAGAGCAAGCAGGCCTCTGTCACTAGGGTGCACTAGGTGGTTTGGCAGGTCTAGAGCAAGATTCCCACCAAAAGACTCACCCACAATGGCCTCCGCCACAGCAGATGGGCTGCTGGGCTGTAGGGTGCAGAGCCCCAGCCCAGGCCTGGACTGGTGCTTCAGGCTCATCTGCCCAGTATCCACAGAGCAAGTAGGATCCATCATCCTTGAGGATAGGCACGATGACATCTGGCCCTTCCAGTGGGGGTGGATCTCCACACACCCTGAGGGGTGAAAGCAGAGGGGAGGATGAGAGGATTGGGAAAGATGAGGGCTTAAACCAAAATCATTGAGTTCCAACCCAGTTCCACAAACCTTCCTAGCAGTCCTTAAGGTCTGTCACACAATGGGGACAGGACCATCCACTAACAGCCATCAGAATGGATCTTCCCTTGATTCAAAATTAGTCTCACAGGGACAGGGCAGACCCAGCAGGATGCAGAGAAGGTGAGACAGGAAAATAGGAGAGGAGTCTGTCAGCCCAAGGCCAGAGGGCCCTCTTACAGCATCCTGGGACAGAGAAGAACAAGCTGGCCAGAAGCCAATTGTCTAGTTCCAGGGAAAGAATCCCCTTGGGGTGCAATGTTCCCACCCAGCTAAAGCTCTTCAGTACTCCAGACAGCCTCGGGATGGGTCCCATTTCCATCAGCACTGTGGTGTCATCAGGCACTGCACACTCCCTGTCTCACCATTGCACCACAGGGATGCTGATGAAGGACAAGCAGAGGGACCAAGGAGTGGCCCTCACTTTTTAGAGAGGCCACACAGAAGTAGTGGCATTAGGAGTGACCTAGACAGGTGACGGTTTCCAGGGAAATTTATATAGGGGTCCACTGAGGGTAAATGGGCAGTGAGCAGGACAGTGTTACAGTGCAACTCAGCACATGAAGCTTTCAGGATGTGCATCCAGTCATTGTGGGAGGAAAACTGAATGATATAAATCACACAAAGGGCACATTCTCTCACCTCACGTCTGATATCTCCCCATGTCCATACTAAAACACCCTGAACACATCTGTCGATTTACCTGGAGGTAGCCTCAGCCCAATCAGCAGTTGCCAACATGACTTTCTCTTTTTGGTAGGTGGCATCTTTCACTGCAAAGAAATGCAAATGAGGCAGGGCATGTGAAATGAGATGCCATGCAAATGCGATGGCCTAGTAAAGCACAGGTACCACACCATATTCTAGCATATTCCTAAGAAAGGTGTGGTCACATGACCTTGGTCAGCCACTGCCTCACTCCCAGGAGGGCAGGCCTGCAATGCCAAGTCCTTTGCCTGACAATGCAGCCCTCCCTTTCTTGGGAGTGTTTCATCACACATAACAGGCATCATGATCTTCCACAAGTGGTCAGCTGTTTTCAATCATATGGGCCCTTGGTCTATGAGTTAGATATGTTCTAAGAGACCAACCACACAATGAGAGGCTCATCCCATCCTACAGCCATGGTGGGAACTCCCAGGCTCACACACTCTGCTGCAATATGAATATGTGAAACTCTCAGAGCTTCACATGACTAAGACTTTTGGTGCTATGCAGACACTGTGTCCCTTAGTGAACCCCAAGAGGCAATAGGCCAGCACTGGCTACCACAGGATGGAGCCCTCAGGACATGGCCCAGGGTTCCAGATGAGGTATGACATCACCACAGTAGGAATAAGAGAGACAGTATGGCCCTGTTCAAAGGGATGTGATTAAGATCTCAGTTCAGCAAGGTGACCAGAAGTATAGCTGGCCTAGTGGGCAGACATTGTCTTTGCAAATTGCTGGGGCAGAGGTCTCACAGAGAAGCCTGCCACTGGCAAAAGGCATCCCACTCTTCCAAGAGGAGCCTTAGAAAAATACCTTGTCGCATGCATGAGCACAGGCTCATGGTGGATCGATGCCACAACATCTGCCTTGGGCATAGTGACACAGCTGGCTTTGGTGCCAGAAAGTGGAGAATAACCTGGGCTCTGAGGTTAAGAAACACCTGCCTACACTAAACAGTTGCTGCAAACTCCACACAAGGTTCTGCCTCAGTCCACCTCGATGAAGTCTAGTGGATAGCCTAAGATTTCAGACCTTTTCCAGAGTGTTGCAGAAAGCAGGCCAAGGGTTTATGGGTGTACTCCTGTGGTTTGGCTACCCTGCATCAAGTTTCACATCAAAGAACTCACCCACAATGGCCTCAGCACAGCAGATGGGCTGCTGGGCTGTAGGGTGCCAGGCCCCAGCACAGGCCTGGACTGGCGCTTCAGGATCATCCATCCAAACTGCACAGAGCATGTAGGATCCATCATCCTTGAGAATAGGCACAATGACATCTGGCCCTTCCAGTGGGGGTGGATCTTCACACACCCCGAGGTGTGATGCAGAGCAGAGGCTGGGAGGGGTGGAAAAGATGAGGGCTTAACACAAGGTCATTCAGTTCCACCAACCCAGTCCCACCAATCCCTCCTAGCAGTCTGAAAGAGTTGTCACCCAAGAGACAGGATTATCCTCTAAGATCGATCTGATCTAAATCATCCTCTGGTTCAGACAACATGAGCCTTCACATGGACAGGGCAGACACATTAGAATGCAGAGGGACTGGGACAGGAAGATAGGAGGAGAGGAAGCTGTCAGTAGAAGGCTTGAAGGAGGAGCACAGGGTTCTGGTGCCCACTCCCACAGCCCCCTGAGGACAATGAAGGACAAGCCGGCCAGAAGCAAGTTGTCTAGTTTCAGGGAAAAGATTCTCATTAATGTGAAATGCTCCAACCCAGGGAAAGTACTTCAACAGCCCAGACAACCCCAGGATGGGTCCCATTTCTGTCAGAACTGTGCAGTGCATCCCTGTCTTTATCATCGTATTGCAGGGTTGCTAATGAAGGAAAAGCAGAGGGCTGAGGGAGTTGCCCTCAGTTTTTAGAGAGGTCCACACAGAAGCAGTGGCACGAGGAATGACCTCAACAGGAGACTGGGCCCAGGAATATTTGTGCAGGTGTCCAAAGGAGGATAAGTGATGGCATCTGGCAGGATTTGGGGTCCACCTCAGCACATGGAGCCTTCAAGAGGTGCTCCAGAGCATTTGTAGGAAGAGATTTGAGTGGGGCAATTTCTCTTCTCCCACGTCTTCCATCTCTAGGGGTCCCTAGTAAAGCCCCCTCAACCCATCTCTAGGTTTACCTCTGATTAGCCTCGGCCTGGTCTGCAGGTGCCACCACACCTTCCTCCTCTTGAAATGAGGGCTCTTCCACTGCAAAGATGTGCAAATGGGGCAGGACACGGCAAATGAGATGATAAGCAAATGTGAGGGCATGCTAAAGCACAGGTACCGCCTACTGTCACACCAGATTCCAAGGATATCTATGCTGTCTGGTTGTGGTACTATCTTGGTTAACAACAGAACCAAACCATAAGGACATGCATGTTTTGACAAGTCCTCTGCCCAACAATGGAAATCTCCCTCCCTGTCTGAGAGTGTGTCAACTCACTCATTGGGCATCCTGATCTCCCACAGGGGTCAGCCACATTCAATCCCCTGGCTCTCTTAGGTGTCTCAGTGTTCAACTGCACAATTAGAGGCTCATCTGATCCTGCAGGCAATGTGGGGACTCCCTGGTTACTATCCCCTGCCATAAAATGAACATGGGAAACCCATAGAGCTTCCCACAGACAGGCGCCTTTTGGTGTCATACAGACACTGTGGTCCTAGTGGATCCCGAGATGCACGGGGCCAGCATTGACAACCTCAGGATGGAACCCCCAGTACATGGTTAAGTGTTCCAGAGGGGAAGTGCAGTCTCCACCATGGGAACAAGAGAATGAACAGCCCACTTCAAGAGCATCTGGTTAAGATCTTGGGCTGAGAAGGTAGCCAGGAGTACAGATTTCCTGGGAGAAATGGCAGGGTCATGGCACAGGGCTGGGGCAAGAAACACCTGCCTAGACTACATCCATGCTGCAAACTCCACCCAGGGTTCTGCCTTAGTCCATCCAGATGTAGCCCTGGGGAAAGCCTACCACATCACCACCTTTCCCCAGGGGCTTAGAGCAAGCAACTAGGGTCATTGGGATGCTCATAGGTTTATCATACCTGCAACAAGAATCATATCAATGGACTCACCCAAAGTGTCCTCATCACTGCAGATGGGCTGCTGGGTTGTAAAGTGCCAGGCCCCAGCCAGGCCTGGACTGGTGCTTCAGGCTCATCAGCCCAATATCCACAGAGCAGGTAGGATCCATCTTCCTTGAGGATAGGCACGATGGCATCTGGCCCTTCCAGTGGGGGTGGATCTCCACACACCCTGAGGTGTTAATGCAGAGGGCAGGACAAGAGGGGAGGAAAAGATGAGGGCTTAACACAAAGTCATTCAGTTGCAGCCCAGCACTGCTAACCCTTCCTAGCTCTCAGAAAGAGTCTTTCACCAATAGAGACAGGAGCACTCTCTAAGAGCCATCTGATCTAGATCCTCCCCTTGTTCAGACAAAGAGACCCTTCACAGGATTGGGCAGACACAGCAGGATGCAGAGAGGATGGGACAGGAAGACAGAAGGAGAGGTCGCTGTCAATAGAAGGCCAGAAAGCATTCTAGGAGCAGAGGGCTCTGGTGTCCCTCTCCCAGACCCCTGGGGCCAGCCTCACCACATGGAACTTTGAAGAGGTACTCGCAGAATATTCATGGGAGGAGCTTTGAATGGTAAATATTGCTTATGGGGCACATTCTCTCCTCCCCATGTCTGCCATCTCCAGGAGTCCATAATAAATAACCCCCACCCCATCTGCCGACTTACCTGGGTATAGCCTCGGCCTGCTCTGCAGATGCTGAGTCCCCTTCCTCCTTTTTGCAGGAGGACTCTTCCTCTGCAGAGAGTGCAAATGGGACAGGATGTGGTCAATGGGATGACATGTACATGAGATGGCATAAAGTAAGGCACCACCCACTGTCACAAGCTTCTGAAGACACCTAGCTGTCAAGTTGTGGAACTGCCTGTGTTAGCCACAGCCTCACTCACAGGAGGACAAGCCTGGAATGGCAAGTCCTCTGTCTAATAATGTAGCCCTCCCTCCCTACCTGGGAAGTTTTTCATAACACAAAACAGGCATCCTGATCTTCCACAAGTGGTCAGCTATTTTCAACCATATGTGTCCTTGGCCTGTGAGTCAGATATGTTCTAAGAGACCATACACACAATGGGAGGACCATCCCATGCAACATCCAAAGTGGGAGATTCCCAGGCACACACACTCTGCTGCAATGTGAACATGTGAATCCAACAGGGGCTCACAGCACTGAAGTCTTTCGGTGCCATGCAGACACTGTGCACCTTAGAGCATCCAGATAGACACGAGGCCAGCACTGACTACTTCAGGATGGAACCCTCAATACATGGCTGAGGATTCCTGATTTGGAATGACATCACCACAGTGGGAATGTGAAAGAGTGTGACCCTACTCAGCGGGATCTGGTGGAGATCTCAGGCTGAGAAAGTAGCCAAAATAGCTGTCCTGGCAGGCATGCAGTGTCTTGGTAACCAAATGGGGCAGAGGTTTCACAAGGAAGCCTGCACTGATAAAAGGCATCCCACTCTTCAAGTGGAGGCCTGGAAGAAAACCCTGTCACATGAATGAGCACAGGCTCCAAAGCCTGGGCCATGCCATCACACCTGCTTTGGGCACAGTGACATGGTCAGATTCATTGCTGAGCATGGGGCATAACATGGGGATCTCAGGTTAAATAACACATGCCTAAATTAGTGCAGCAAACTCTACCCCAGGTTCTGTCCTCTGTCAATCTAGATCTGCCCCATGGTTCAGCCTACCCCATCACAATCTTTCCCAGCAGTGTTCAAGAAAGCAGGACAGGGTCACTAGGTGCACTCAGGAGGTTTATCAGGTCTGCAGCTAGAGTCACATCAAAGGACTCACCCGCAATGGCTTCAGCACAGCAAATGGGCTTCTGGGTTGCAAGGTGCCAGAGCTCAGCACAGGCCTGGACTGGTGCTTCAGGATCATCAGCCCAAAATCCACAGAGCAGGTAGGATCCGTCACCCTTGAGGATAGGCACGATGACATCTGGCCCTTCCAGTGGGGGTGGATCTTCACCCACCCTGAGGTGTGAATGCAGAGGGCAGGACAAGAGGGGAGGAAAAGAGGAATGTTTAACACAAAGTCATTCAGTTGCAATCCAGTCCCACCAATCCTTCCTCCCTGTCCAAAAGTGTCTGTCACCCAACAGAGACAAGATCATCCCTTAAGAGCCATCTGATCTAGAGCCTCCCTTGGTGCAGTCAAAGTGAACCGTCACATGGACAGTGCAGACCCAACAGAACACGGGGAGGATGGGACAGGAAGATAGAAGGAGAGGAGGCTGTAGGCAATTGTCAGAAGGCATGCTGAAGAGCAGAGGGCCCTGGGGCACCTCTTGTCAACCCCTGGAGACAGAAAAGGACAAGGGATGCTGATGAGGGACAAGCAGTGGGGCTGAGGGAGTGGCCCTTCACTTTTTAGGAAAAGCACACAGAAGCAGTGGTATTAGGAATGATCTAGATAGGTGACTGGTTTCCAGGGAAACTTATGCAGGTGTCCAGGGGAAGATAACTGGGCAGTGACCTGGGCAGCAGCACAGTGTAACTCAGCACATGGGGATTTCAAGAGGTGTGCCAGGTCTTCCTGGGGAGGAGCAATGAATGTTTTAAAAATCTCACAGGGCACTTTCTCTCACCCCATTTCTGCCATCACCAGATAGCCATACCATACTAAAAACCCTGGAGCCAGCTGTCAACTTACCTGGACATAGCCTCAGCCTGATCTGAGGATGCCCCCTTGACTTTCTCCTTTTTGTTTGAGGAGTCTTCCACTGCAAGGAGTGCAAATGGGGCAGGGCATGGTAAATGAGATGACATGCAAATGCAACGGGCTAGTAAGGCACAGGTATCACAACTGTCCCACCATATTCTGAGTAAATCTGTACTGTCTGGTTGTGGCACAGCCTTGGACAGTGACAGCCTAATTAACAAGAGGACATGCCAGTAATGCTCAAGTCCTCTGACTAACAATGCTGCTCTACCTCCTTTTGGGGGAGTGTTTCACAACACACAACAGGAACCTTAACCTTCCCAATTGGTCAGCCATTTTCAACATTTTGTGTCCTTGGCCTGTGAGTCAGATATGTTTTAAGAGACCAAACACATAATGGGAGGACCGTCCCACGCAACAGCCAATGTGGGAGGCTCCCAGGCTCACACACTCTGCTGCAATATGAACATGGGAAACCCAAGGAGCTTCACACCACTGAAGTCTTTTGGTGCCATGCAGACACCGTGCCCCTTAGTGAATCCTGAGAGGCTCGAGGCCAGCATGGGTAATTTCAGATAGAACCCTTAGTACATGGTCCTGGGCTTCAGATAAGGGGTGATGTCACATAAAGGAAATAAGAGAGACAGTGTGGTCCTGTTTAGGGGTGTGTGGTTAAGAACTCAGGCTGAGAAGGTAAGCCAAGACTACAGCTGTCCTGGCAGGCATGCAGTATCTTAGCCATGGTTGGGCAGAGGTCTCACAGGGAAGCCTACAACTGGCCAAAGACATCCCACTCTACCAAGTAAGGCCTAGGAAAAAAACCCACCCCATGCATGTGCATAGTATATATCGCTGGATCCATGCCATCACACCTGCCTTGGGTGCCGACATGACTGGCTTTGGTGCCAGAAAATGGAGCATAACCTGGGGCTCTGAGGTTAAGAAATACCTGCCTGTAAAACATCTTTGCTGCAAATTCCACCAAGATTCTACTTCAGACCATCTAGATTGAGCTAAGGGACATCTTACCAAATCAGGACATTTTCTCTGGGGGTTAGAACAAGCAGGCCAGTGTCACTGAGGTACAATCAGGTTTGGCAGGTCTGAAGCAAGATCAAATCAAAGGACTCACCCACAATGGCCTCAGCACAGCAGAGGGGTTGCTGGGTTGTAAAGTGCCAGGCCCTAGCCCAGGCCTGGTCTGGTGCTTCAGGTTCATCTGCCCAATATGCACAGAGCACGTAGGACCCGTCATCCTTGAGGACAGGCACGATGGCATCTGGCCCTTCCAGTGGGGGTGGATCTTCACCCACCCTGAGGTGTGAATGCAGAGGGGAGGATGGAAGAGGTAGAAAACATGAAGGGTTAACACAAGGTCATTCAGTCCCAACCCATTTCCATCAAACCATCCTAGCAATCTGAGAGATCTGTCACCCAATAGGGACAGGACCAACCACTAACAGCCATATGATCTAGATCCTCCCCTGATCCAAAGTGAGCCTTCATTGGATAGGGAAGACCCAGCAGAAGGCAGAGAATATGGGACAGGAAGACAGAAGGAGAGGAGGCTGGCAGCCAAAGGCCAGAAGACACACTGAGGAGCAGAGGGCTCTGGTGCCCACTCTCAAAACCCCCTGGGGACAGAGAAGGACAAGCTGGCCAGAAGCCAGATGTCTAGTTGCAGGGAACAGAATCCCCTTGTCGTGGAATGTTGCCACCCAGCTAAAGCACCTGAGCACCCCGGACTACCTCAGGATGTGTCCTAATTACATCAGCACTGTAGCATGCATCCGGGCATTGGAATCCCTGTCTATGAATGTAACACAGGGATGCTGATGAGGGACAAGAAGAGGGGCCGAGGGAGAGGCCTCTCACTTTAATGGAGGCCACACAGAAGCAGCGGCATTAGAAATGACCTGGACTGCTGACTCGTTCCCAAGGTAACTATGCAGGTGTTCAGTGGATGTTGGGGGGAGTTGACTGGACAGTCTTTGGGGACCTCAACAGCACATGGAGGTTTGGAGAGCTGCTCTCAGAGTCTCTGTGGGAGGAGTTTTGAATGGTATAAATGGCCCTTGGGGCACATTCTCTCCTTCCTGTGTGCAATCTCCAGATGTCCATGCTGAAACACCCTGAACCCATCTGAACGTTTACCTGGGGATAGCCTCGGCCTGGTCTGTAGATGCCAACTCCACTTCCTCCTTTTGGTGGTAGGGGTTTTCCACTGCAGAGAGTACAAATGGGGCCGGATGTGGTAACCAGGATGATATGCAAATGCGATGGCACAGTAAAGCTCAGGTACTGCCCCCCATCACACAACTTATAGAGACATCCATGCCATCTAGTTGTGGCATTACCTGTGCTAAAAAGAGTGTCATGTCCAGGAACACACACTTCCAATGGCAAGTCTTTGCCAACCAAAGGAAAACTCCCTCCCAGGGACTCTGAGGTTAAGAAACACCTGCCTACATGACATGTGTGCTGTAGCCCCACCCAGTGTTCTGCATTTGTCCATACAGATGTAGCCATGTGATTGCCTACCCATCACCTCCTTTCCTGGGGGGTTACAGCAAGTAGGTCAGAGTTATTGGGGTGGTCTCAGGAGGTTTGGCAGGTCTCAGCAAGATTCCCATCAAAGGACTCACCCACAATGGCCTCAGCACAGCAGATGGGCTGCTGGGTTGTAGGGTGCCAGGCCCCAGCACAGGCCCAGATTGGAGCTTCAGCATCATCATCTGCCCAAAATCCACAGAGCATGTAGGACCCATCATCCTTGAGGATAGGCACGATGACATCTGGCCCTTCCAGTGGGGGTGGATCTCCACACACCCTGAGGTGTGAATGCAGAGGGGAAGATGAGAGGGGTGGAAAAGTTGAGGGCTTAACACAAAGTCACTCAGTTCCAACCCAGACCCACCTAACCTTCCTAGCATTCTGAAAGCATTTTTCATCCAATAGGGATGGGGCCATCCTCCAAGAGCCTTGTGATCTTGATATTCCTCATGTTCAAAAAGCACCTTCCCATGGATAGGGCTGACCCAGTAGAATGAAGAGAGGAAAGGACAGGAGATAGAAGGAGAGGAGGCTGGGAGCAGAAGGCCAGAAGTCACACTGAGGTCAGAGGGCTCTGGTGCCCCCCCTTACAGCTCCCTGGAGATAGAAAAGTAGGACACACTGACCAAAAGCCAGTTGTCTAGTTTCAGGGAAAAGAAGCCCCTTTGTGTGGAATGCTCCCAAGCACCTAAAGCACTTTGGCACCCCAGACCACCTTAGTATTGAGTCCCATTTCCTGCAGCACTGTGGAGTGTATCCGTGCACTGGACATTCTCTATCTTAATTACTATACTGCAGGGATGCTGATGAGGGACAAGCAGAGGGCTGAAGGAGGGGTGCCTGACATTTTATTGAGGACACACAGGAGCAGGGGCATGAGGAATGACCTGGACAGTTAAATGGCTCCTAGGGAAACTTAGGGAGGTGTCTAACTGAGGTTAAGTGGTGAACTGGACAGTGTTTGGGGCCCACCTCAGCACATGGAGCTTGCAAGAGGTGTTCCCAGAAATTTCATGGGAGGAGCTTTGATGGTATAAATGACTGATGAGGCACAGTCTCTCCTCCCCATGTCTGCAATCTCCACATGTCCATACTAAACACGCTCAACCCATCTATAGATTCACCTGGGGTTTGTCTCGGCCAGGTCTGGAGATGCCACCTCTCCTTCCTCCTTTTGGTTTGAGGCATCTTCCACTGCAAAGGAAAGCAAATGGGGCAGGACATGGTAAATGAAATGGCATTTACCAAAAAGAAATCCCTCCCTGTCTGGGGAGTGTGACACCCCACACATATTCATCCTGATCTTACATGCATAGTCAGTAACTTTCAACCATGTCAGTCAATGGCCTTTTTGTCTGAATGTTTTAAGAGACCAACCACATGATGGAAGACTTGTCCCATTCAACAGCCACTAGAGTGGGGCTCCCTAGCTCATACACTCTGCTGCCATATGATCATATGAATGCCATCGAGCTTCACACACACAGGAACCTTTTGGTGCCATGCAGACACTGTGCTTCTTGGTGGATCCTGAGAGGCACGAGGCCAGCACCAGCTACCCCAGGATGGAACCCTCAGAACATGCCCAGGATTCCAGATGAGGACTGCAGTCACCACAAAGGGAACAAGGGAAGGAATGGCCCCGGTCACGGGCATCTGGTTAAGGTCTCAGGCCAAGAACATAGCCAGGACTATAATTGTCCTGGCAGGCATGCAGTGTCATGACACATAGCTGGGACAGATGTCTCACAGGAGATCCTGGCACTGGCCAAAGGCATCCAACTCTTCCATGGGTAGGCCTAGAATAAACCTGTCATGTGTATGACTTCAAACTGGGGCTATGCCATCACACTTGACTCTGGTGCAGCATCTTGGCTGGTTTCAGTGCCAGAAAGGAGAACATAACCTGGGACTCCAAGGTTAAGAGACACCTGCCTACAATTATTTTGTTCCCCTTCACCCAGGGTTCTGCCTCTGTCCATTCAGATGTAGCCATGGGACAGCCACATCACCACCTTCCCTGGGGGAGTTACAGCAAGCAGGCCAGGGTTATTGGGGTGCACTCAGGAGCTTTGGTAGGGCAACAGCAAGATTCAAATCAAAGGACTTACCCACAATGGCCTCAGCACAGCAGATGGGCTGCTGGGTTGTAAGGTGCCAAGGCTCAGCAGAAACCTGCACTGGTGTTCCAGACCCATCAGCCCAATATCCACAGAGCATGTAGGATCTGTCATCCTTCAGGATAGGCAGGATGACATCTGGCCTTTCCAGTGGGGGTGGATCTCCACACACCCTGAGGTGTGAGTGCAGAGAGGAAAGGAGGGTGGAGAAGATGAGGGCTTAACATAAAGTCATTCAGTTCCAACCCAGTCCCACTAAATCTTGCAAGGAGTTCAAAGGGTTGTTACCCAACAGGGACAGGATTATCCTCTAAGAGCGATCTGATCTGGATCATCCCCAGGTTCAGATAAAGTGAGTTTTCACATGGATAGGGAAGACTCAGTAGAACTTAGGGAAGACTGCACAGAAAGATGGAAGGAAGGCCGGAAGCCATGCCGAGGAGCAGAGGTCTCTAGCACCCATTCCCAGACCCTGGGGACAGAAAAGGACAAGCTGGCCAGAAGCCAGTTCTCTAGCTTCAGGGAAAAGAATCACCTTTATGGAATTCTGCCACCCAGTTAAACTACTTTAGTATCCTCAACCACCTCGGGATTGAGTCTCACTTCTGTCAGCCCTGTGGAGTGTGTCGGTGCATTGGACATTCCCTGTCTTTATCAACATACTGCATCAATGTTGATGAGGGACACTTTTAATGGAGGCCGCATGAAACAGTACATTAGGAATAAACCGGACTGGTGACTGGTTCTGTGAGAAATTTATGCAGCTGTCCAATGGAAGTTGGAGAGAGGTGGCTGACCTGAACAGTGTTTGAGGCCCACTACAGCACAGGGAGCTTGCAAGAGTTGCTCCCAGAGTCTCGTGGGAGGAGCTTTCCATGGTATAAATGGCTCACAGGGCACGTTCCCTCCTTCCGGTGTTGCCTTATCCAGATGGCCATGATAAAACACCCTCAACCCATCTGTAGACTTACCTGGGGATAGGCTCAGCCTGGACTGCAGTTGCCACCTCCCCTTCCTCCTTTTTGTAGGAAAGGTCTTCCACTGCAAAAAGGGCCATTGGGGCCGGATGTGGTAAGTGCGATGACATGTAAATGAGATGGCATCATAAAGCTCAGGGGCTGCCCACTGTCACGGAGCTTCCAAGGACGCCCATGCTGTCTGGTTGTTTCACTGCCTATGCTAATAAGAGCCTCACACCCATGTGGACATGGCCTGCAGTGGCAAGTCTACTGCCAACCCAAGGAGAACTCTCTCCCCATCTGGGGAGTGTGGTATCCCACACTTTAGGCATCCTGATCTTCCACAAGGGGGAAGCAGCCATCAGCCATCTGGGTCCTCGGTCTATGTGCTCTAAGAGACTGACTGCACAACATGGGGCTAGTCCCAGGCTCATATGAGCACCCTGCCACAACATAAACATGTGAAGCCCATAGATCTTCACACACACAGGAACATTTTGATTTCATGCAGCACTGTGGCACTTAGTGGATCCTGACAGGTCAGCAGAGGCTACCCCAGGGTGGAACCCTCTGCACATGGCCCAGGGTTCCAGATGAGGAGTGATGACAATAGAACAGGAATGAGAGAGACAGCATGGCCTAGTTCAGGGGCATCAGGTTAGGATCTCAGGCCGAGAAAGTAGCCATGATTACAGTTCCCATCAGGCATGCAGTGTTATGTCACATGGTTGGGGCAGGGGTCTCACAGGGAAGCCTGCCACTGCCCAAAGGCATCCTGCTCATCCAATTCACAAGCATGAGTGAGCACAGGCTGCATAGCTGGGGCCATGCCATCACTCTGGCCTCTGCTACATAGACATGGATGGGTCCAGTGCAGGAATACAGAGCATAATCTGGGCTCTGAGGTTAAGAAACACCTGATGACACTACATCTGTGCTTTGAACTCCATCCAGGGTTCTCCCATAGTCCACTCAGATGTAGCCAGGGGACAGCCTCTCACATCACCACCTGTCCTTGGCAGGTTAGATCAAGCAGTGCATTGGGGTGCACTCAGGAGATTTGGCAAGTCTGCAGCAAGAGTCAAATCAGAGGACTTACCCACATTGGCCTCAGCACAGCAGATGGGCTGCTGGATTGTACATTTCACAGTCTCAGACCAGGCCTGGGCTGGTGCTTCAGGCTCATCACCCCAAAATCCACAGAGCAGGTAGGATCCATCTTCCTTGAGGATAGGCACGATGGTATCTGGCCTTTCCAGTGGGGGTGGATCTCCACACACCCTGAGGTTTGAATGCAGAGGGGAGGATGGAAGAGGTGGAAAAGATGAGGGCTCAGCACAAGGTCATTCAGTTCCAACCCAGTTCCACCAAACCTTCCTAGCAGTCTGAAAGGGTCTGTTAATCAAAGGGACAGGACCATCCTCTATGAGCCATCCAATCTAGATCTTCCCCTTGTTCAGACAATGTGAGTTTTCACAAAGATAGGGCAGACCCAGCAGGACATAGAGAGGGTTAGACAGAAACACAGGAGCAGAGGATGCTGTCAGCTAAAGGCCAGAAGGCACATCAGGAGCAGAGGGCTCTGGTGCCCCTCTTCCAGCACCCTTGGCACAGGAAAGAACAAGCTTGCCAGAAGCCAGTTGTCTAGTTTCAGGGAATAGAATCCCCTTGGCGCTCAATGTCCCAATGAAGCTAAAGCACTTTAATACCCCAGACCAGCTTGGGACTGTGTGCCCATTGCTGTGAGCACTGTGGAGTGTGTCAGGGCATTGGACATTCCCTGTCTTTGTCATTGTACTGCAGGGATGTGGATGAGGGACAAGTAGAGGGGCTGAGGGAGTGGCTCCTCACTTTATGAATGCCACACAGAAGCAGTTCATTCCCAGGGGAACTTATGCAGTTGTCCAGCGAGGTTAAGGACACAGTGTTTGGGGCCTGACTCAGCACATGGATTTTCCAAGAGGTGCTCCCAGAGTCTTCATGGGAGGACCTTTGAGTGGTATAAATGGCTCTCAGGGCACTTCTCTCCTCTCCGTGTCTGCCACCTCCACATGTCCATACAAAAATACCCTCAGCCCATCTGTAGATTTACCTGGGGATAACCTCAGCTCTGTCTGCAGATACCACTTCATCCTTTTGGGAGGAGGTATCATACCCTGCAAAGGAGAAAAATGAGCAGGAAATGGTAAATGAGATGACATGCAAATGCTATGGCAAAGTAAAGTACAAGTACTGTGCAATGTCCCATTAGCATCTGAGGACTTCTATGCCGTCTGCCTGTGGCACTGCCTCTGTTAGCAACTGTCTCATTCCCAGGAGGTCATGCCTACAGTGGCAAGTCCTCTGTCAATAAATGGAGACCTCCCTCCCTGTCTGGGTAGCATGTTATCCCACACAATAGGCATCCTGATGTTCCACAAGTGGTCAGCCACTTTCCTCACTAAGGGTCCCTGGCTATGTGTCAGGTGTGCTCTAAGAGATTAAATACAACATAGGAGGCTCATACCAACTGCCTCCCCCCTGTACATCAACTAATGGGAGCTATGGGCTCTAAGGGTCAAATACCTTAGGGTATTTGGGATGGACAAGTGTAACCCATGAGTCTCCCATTCATGGGAGTCCTTGCAGTTATGCAGGGTTTGCAGGGTTTGCAGGGTTTGCAGGGTAGCCTGATAGGCATGAAAATTACACTGGATGCTTCAAGATGGAACTTCAAGACATGGCCAAGGGTTCTACATCAGTGAGGTGTGAAGTCAACATGGAAGACAGAGTATAGACTGGTTCAGGGAGATCTGGGTAAGATCATGTGGTGAAAGCTGGTCATGATGGCAGCTACCCTGGCAGCCATGCAGTGTCATGGCATGTGGCTAGGGCAGAGATCTCACAAGAAAGACTGCCACTGCACACAAAAACAATTCCATTATCCCAAGTGGAGGCCTGGCAGAAACCATGCCACATGCATTTTAAAGGCTCCATGGCCATTGCAGGGGCCTCAGGCAAGGAGACCCAACAGGGGCTTTGAGGCCAAAGGTGTTTGTGACCCAGGGATACGAGGCTAAGACAAAGGTGTAGACCCATGCTATCTTTATGTTGCAAACTCCATCCTCACGCCTGCCTCCATCCATCCACATGTGCCCTTAGGATTTCCCACCACATCACACCTTTCACCAGAGGGCCAAGGATGTTATGGTGAATGCAGGAACTCCAGAAGGGCTGCAGCAAGATTCCCAGTGGGACACTCACCCTCAATGGCCTCTATCCAGTGGATGGACTGCTGGGCTAAGGGCTGCTGGACCCTGGCCCAGGCCTGGAACAGTATTTCCAGCTTGTCCCCCCAGGAGGCATGCCACATGTAAGGTGCATCTGCAAGGTGTGTGCATGCCATGATGCGATGCCCTTCAGCTAGAGATCAGTTTTCACACAATCTGAAATGCAAATGTAGAGGGGAGATGGAAAGGATGAGGGCTTAACACACAGGTATTCGTCAACCCCAGTCCCACCTGGCTTTCCTAGCAGGAAGAAAGGGTGTGTCACTCATTGAAAACATGCCATCATCTAAGAGCCATTGGACTGTGAACTTCCCATTCTGAGACAAAGTGAGCCTTCACGGGGAATGGACAGACCCAACAGGATGCAGATTCAATGCAGGACTCCTGGCCCCATTTCCTTCAGCACTGGGGCATGACCCAAGACATTGGCCACTTCTGTCCTTATCAAAGTCCCATGGGGACACTGAGGAAGGAGAAGCAGAGAGGCCTAGGGAAGGGCACCCCAATTTTTATGGAGGCCACACAAGCTGTGAAAGCAGCAATGGCCTGGAAACATGACTGGATCCCAGGCCACCACATGCAGATGTCCAATGGAGGTGGGAGGTGGGGATCCACCTCAGCACATGGATAAAAGTGGTGCTACCAGAGTCCTCAGAATGAGCTCTGAGGGGGTAATTACTCCGTGGGGCCCATTCTCTCCTCCCCATGCCTTCTACCTCCAAATGTCCATACCAAAGAACCCTCCATCCATCTGTAGACTTACGCAGGTTTGGCTTCATGTGGCACTCTGTCCTCAAGGGAATTCCCATAGACTACAATAAAATTTAGATAGGGAAGTTGCTGTGAGACAAAGAGCCCAATTATAGGTCAGAACAGCCCCAGAGGCCCAGGGAGATGCCTGCTGACAGCTGTCTTGATGGCCTTTGCCCATTAACAGGGGACCACTTCTCTCTTCCAGTCTGCCTGCCTCCTGCATATCAGGCATCCCCAAACTCCAAAAGGGATCAGCTGCTGTTTGGCCCTGTGGGGTCACTGCAAATGGCCCAGCTGGTTTCTTCCTCAACAGCTGCCCTAAAGAGCCTCCCCACAACTAACAGCCAGGCCTTTGTGATTCTCATGTTGCAGTGTGCCATAGGTTGGATGGGGAAAGCCCTGGAACCTATTCCCATAGGGGTTTTTAGGGTCATGAACGCACCCCAAATGTTAGGGACCTGTGAGAGTCATAATGATCGGACTGGTTCCTTCCACATGGCAATCAGTGATATGGCCAAGGGCTCTAGATAAGGAAAGAGTGACATCAACTCAATGTGGGAGAGTGACATGCTGTGTCTCAGTTTAGAGGTTTTGGGTCTTTCGTGAGATCACAAGTGGAGAGGGTAGCTTTGATGATAGTGGCCCCTACAGGCAGTGTGTCATAGCATGTGACTGGGACAGGTATCTCACAAGGAAGACTGCCACTGGCCACTTGATCCACTAGTACAAGTGTAGGCTTGGAACACACCATGCCATGTGCACAGGGCTGGTGCACACCACACTGGGATCCACAAACTGCTGCCATGTTGTCACCCCTGCTAGAGGAGCTGCAGCACCGCAGTGTGCTGAGGAAAACCACCCTTTGGGGAAGCAGAGCTACTGGGTGAACACACAGGTGTAGACCCACATGACATCTTTGCTTCAAACTCCCTCTGGGGGTTCTTAGGCTTTCCTATCTAGTCCAACTAGAGCAGCCCATCCATTGCCCAACCACACCAGGGTCTTTGTGAGAGCAGGGCAAGTATGCTGGGGTTTACTCCTTACCCTAAGTGGCACTGGAAGCACCCCCGGGTTGGTGTACTCACCTCCAAACCTTGTGCACCACGAGTACTCTTCCAGCACTATCGTCCAGCCACCACCAGGATAACGCTGCTGCATAACCAGCATGGCTTTCATGATGATGCACCAACAATATTCACCCATGGTCAGCCCTGGTACCAACTCAGGCTCTACTTGAGGTGGAAAGCACCCACTGATCCTGCTGGATTAGGAAGGGTGGAGAAGTTATCATGGTAGTTAAGGTACTAGAGGGCCCTATCAGGCCTGCATCACAGGCAGGTTGATTCTGCCCCCAATGAAAATGGGCCTTTCAGCTAACAGCTGTCTGAGCAGGATCCTCCCCTTGCTGAGCAAAGTGAGGAACTGCAGGACGTGGAGGCACAGCATGAGCTACAGGTGGAGGCACTGGAAAAAGGATGGAGAGATGGTGTTGGAAGATGGCCAGGATTCTGGCTGAAGAACAAAGAGCTGTGATGCTCAGTAATGGAATCCTCATGACACCCAGATACAAGCAGAACAAATAGTGTTTGTCACATTCGACAAAATCAGTTGAATATTACTAATCTCAGGTGTGGTAATATACCTGCTACAGCACAGTGGGCTTCTAGTTCTGTGGCCACCCTGCTGGCTTTCTCAACATTTTGGTATGGTATTTTCCCCTGTACTTCTTTCTATCAGCCATCTCCATAAACACAGAGATGAGAAAAAAAAAAGAAGATAAGGAACCCTGTCTTCTAATCTATGCACAACAGAAGTAATAACTGCAGGAGACCCCTGTAAAGTCCAGTTGATCTGAAGCAACCTAATGGAGACCACATGGGTGTTTGAGGAAGAAATGGCAATCTCTATGGGTGCCAAAATGATTACAATAATACTCTTCATAGAGAAACAGTGTGATCACCTAGGGTGTGTGAAATCCTTCCATTCAGCATATTCAGTTTCTCCCTAAAATATGAGTCCCCAGATGTCAATATCAATGAAATATCCATGATTCCTTAGTCTTACCTGGGGCAGATTAAGTCCCAGCAACCACCCTTCATTTGCGTCATTTCTTTTGCTGCAAATAAATTCCAACAGGGATGGTCAAATTAGGGAGGTCCTAGTACATGTGCAATCCAGTTCCCAACAATGACACAGTAATACCCATAAACTCTATTTGACAATGGCATACTGTGAGAGAAATATTTCATGTGCTGACCCTTTGAGCAAAACCTTCTTGGCATGAAAATCAATATCCAGACCTCTTTGTCTTGAAAACAATGAACCTCATCTTTTCCCCGCTAATTCTGGGAAACTACCCTATCTGCATTCTAAAAGAATTAAAAGTTATTCACTTTTCTCCTGTTAGAATGCCAGGATGTAGATGATTTAGAGGAATCTATACACTGAGGTGAGACTGAGGATGAGATATATTCAATTTCTTCTCAAGATTAGTCTTCGATGCTTCACAGAAACAGTTGTCATTCATGACCACTACGAGCTACAGTGGTCATTGTTGCCTCTGGAAATCTTGGAAGTATGGGAGTGGCTTCAATGTAAATGTCCTAGGTTTAGATGGATAATGAGCTGGAAGAAGAGAACTTAAAAGATACAGAGGATGGGCTATGTTTGGAGAAATGTGGGTTATGTCTGCAACAGAGATGTAGACAAGATGCCTCTGGCAGTGTGCAAGCATAGATCATCAAGAGACAGGTTCTACTGCCTCAAGTATATGTAACGATGCCACATGGCAAAGGCTGTGTCTTATTTAAAATACATGTGTAATTGTTCCTAATGGCAATGCCACAACTGCCAGGCAAACGTTTCATGGGCCCACTCCGTAGAAGAGGAAACAGAAATACAGAAAAGAAATCAATGATCTTTCTACAGTCAGTGAAAACAGTGCTGAGGACACAGGTGGGCCCTTTCACTCTCAGCACAGGGCTCAATCTCCCTCTTACAAGCCACCACCTGCCCCAACCTCCTTCCTGTCCTTTCAAACTGGATGGATACTGCATCTTGATCAAAGGCCACCTGCACTGGGGAAAATGGAGACTTCTGCAATGCTAGGAACTTCAAGCCTGTGCGTTTCTCACTCTAGTTCTCATCCAGAATTCCTGATCATGTCAGGGCCACAGATATCTCAATGAAAACAAGGTAGCAGGAAAATGTCTCCTGCAGGGAAGTGGAGTCTCCTGTAAATGTGAGACTTTCTGAAATCAGAGCCTGAGGTCCCCTTACCCAGGCTACATTTGTAGACAAGATGCTTTTCCAGCCTGACGTGAACAACCAGTGGCTCCAGCAAGCCCCGTGTGTGGTGGCTGTCAGGGTCATGCTGGGTGAGGAGGGCTCTGGGATGTAGGCTGAGATGACAAATCTGTGTCTGTTTTCTTGACTTCTTACGTAGCCGGCGCCGCTTGCGGGTGCGTGCCTTATTTACATGGCATTTCCTAAGGTAGGACAGGAGAGAAAATGTAAGGATAGAAATATGTGCATGATACCATCTCTGTATTTCAACAGATTTCATGGAGAATTCTCTCACAGAGCCCTGCAAACAGCAGCACTGACAGGTTCGGTAAATGCTTGTGGTGAAGAAGACAAAACGAGAGCTTCCCCTGTGTTAGAGGGTGACCCTGTGTTCAGTCCACATTGCCAGGACTCTTCCTTCACCCCCTACACACAGCAGCTCCTTTAGCTGCTAACTTCAACCACAGGCATTTCCAAGTAAAACACATAGCCCAATGTGCAGTGACAACACCAAGGCGCACTCAGATGCATGTCCCTTGTTACTGGTGTTCTTCAGAAAGAAATGAAAGGCTGGCAGGGTCAATCTTAGACAATATCCTCAATCAGGAGGTGATGGTGATCTAGAGAGAATGACACGGTGATGACAACACATCATGTGCATACCACGCCATGCATTGCTCACTATCCTCTGTTTGGTTAGTTATGAGAATTTGAACTCAAGAAATTCCTTGTTTTTTGAAAGAGGAAAGGAGGCTTTGATAAGCACCACAGCCCATCAAGCAGTATTTTCATTGTTGTGCACATGTTTTATAAATATTTATGAGATAGGTCCCCAACATGTAAATTCCTGCCCTTCTCCTGATGCAAGTCTGTTTCCCCAGCTGAGCTGGCCCACTTCACTGATACCACATATATCTTCCTCCTGCTTGTAATGCCCGAAGCCCCACTTACTTGAACTCAGCAGGTGCCAGCTTCTCAAGCTGTGGAGTTCCAAGTGCTGGCTTCTCCCTTAGCCTGGATTGAATCACGTCTTGGCCCTCACCATAATCTGAAACAGACACACCTGCCTCAGTGGACAGCTGGACACGCAGCTGAGGTCACTGTCTCTAGGGAGGAGCCACTCTAGTACCATGCTCCAGGTAAGCATTTCTTCATCTTTGTCTCTCCACCTCCCAACAACAGGATATCTGATAATCCCCCATTTAGAGTGAACAGTGTTCCAAGGTGAATGGTGACCTGACAAGGCAGTTCAACTGGTATTTGACAGAATCAGAATTCCCTTCCACTAAGCTGTGACTGAATCATGGCAGTGTAGTTACCACACCTTGCAGGTTTTTAAGTCAAACACTAACTTGTAGCATGAAGCAGTGAGCTCCAGTATGGTTGGTAAAGTACACTAGCACTGGGGATAGTGGTTCTTCTATGCTGAGAAGTTCAACTTTCATGTTTGGGGAGTTTCCAAAGACAAAATCACAGCTAAGTAGAATTGTGTAAAAACAGTGCTAAATACCCAAAGGCCCTGAAAGAAATATACACACCTACTAATACAGCTCCTGTTAAATTAGAAAAAAAATGAAAAGGAATGAATAAATCTACTCCAGGCCAGGAATCACCTTACATATTGTACAAAAATATATCCCATATTTCATGGCAACAATTTACAGAGGTAGGAATTATGACAGCACTTGTGGGAACCAAGGAGGGGTCTAAGGCATGCAGAGATTGGCAAGTTGGAGAAAAGCCCAGGGAGGGTCTCAGAGTCCCTGCTCTACATTCTGCTCTGTGCTACCACAAAGACTCAGGAGCCTTCTTCCTCTTCGAGAAGAGCTTTTGTTCCATGAGTGGATTTCCCCCTGACCAGGGCAGTCCCTGGTCTAGACAATGTCATTTACAAGTACCACAATGTCAGCACAGACTCCATTAGCACCTATAACAGAGATTTTGTGGACTCTTCACATTTCTCTGTGTGACCAGCCCAAGGATTTGCCAACTGGAACTCAAAAGAAGCTTGAATTGAGTAGAAGTTCATTAGTCCCATACATGAAACCCACACCAGCTGGTACAGGACAAAGAGGTTGCCAGTTAACTGACATCTCACCCCACACTTAAAGGAAACATGGAAAAGCTGTTGAACTAGTGCCTTGGTTATTCCAAATTGACATGAAAATAGCTTATACAGTTCTCAGAGTATTGTAACAATGGATTTTCTTAGGATAAAGGGAAGAACCAAACCTAGAAAGCCTTTATTTTCTCAGAGGGACAAAATCATCATTTACCACTTTTGTGAGAGGACCTATGGAACTCACTGTTTTCCTCTTGGTGGAGGATGAAGCTGAAATGATGAACTATCTCTTTCAGATCTTGTATTTCCCGCTGGTTCTCTGCTAGTCGGCAATGCAATGCCTGGTTACACGCAATCATATTATTTTTATTGGCTGGATCGGATGAAGGGCTCAGTGGTACTGCCATTCTGATGGTTCTGGCAGACCAGGGGGCTCCAGAGACTAGGTGGAAGATATCCAAGAACAGAATGAGTTACAACAAATGACATTCAATAGCTCTAATGAGGGCTGGGGGATGACAACAGCCATATTTCTGAACTTACTGTTGGGAGACACCCCACAGAACTTCAAAGTCTTCAATCAAAATCCTGTCACTATTAAGTGATCAACACTCAGCTTTTAAGCGACTTCTTATTACTCAGTCACTGTCACAAGTGAGAGAACGAACTCCCTGCTTGCCAGCTTGCCAAGTAACTGTTGGAAGTAGCAATAGCAGAATGAGAAGATGGCCGGTACTGGAATGTTAGGAGTTGTTGACTTCCTGTCGCCAAGGATACCTGGTCCCTTCTTAAAGGCACCACCAACTCATTCCTCATTCTCAGGAGCAGCGCACCCAGTGCTGATTTTAAACACCTGCATTTTCCACTAGGAAAATCTAAGCACATTTCCCACTCTCCCTCCCTCCCTGTGGTGGAAAACACTAAGGAAGAATTCATTTCCAAACAAGTGTTATTTTCTCAAAGCGCTCTCAGGAAGTCACTCACCCTGCCTTTCTGTTAAAATGGGTCTCCAGGCTTTTCCTCCAGGGAGACATGTCACATGATAAACTACCAAGATGCTCTTCTCTGGGTTTCTGCAAGCCTTTCTATAACCATTAAATAGTGTAGGGTCAGAAAGCAGAGTAAAGCACGTACAGAATGAAAAAATAATAATTTGTGTCCCGTCCTGTCTCAAAATATTTTTGGCTCTACTCAGTGTTGTAATGGCTTCTCTTCCCTCACACAGGCAGCATGTTGCCATTTCACACTACTAAAATCAGTTAGACCTCCCTACATCCTAAGTCCTTCCTCAGACTTTGGGGGCATTGTTTTGTTTTCAGTGTCATTAAATACAGCATTTCCTACTTGTCACTTGCATGTTTTTTTCTAAGCCCAAAAGAGATCATTTTAAAGATACCAAGGCACTCCAATAGTTTATCTATATTCTCCTGCATACACATAGTCACCATCTATGTCTAGAATAGATATGAAGCTGATGCTACTTTTCAGATGTGTTCCTTTGGTTCCAACACATATAGAGTTGAACAGGGCCCAGTGGTAGTTCTTATGCAATGTTAACTGATAGATTTTTTTTCTTATATGGTTGAACCCTATTGAATGATGGCTGAATTCCACTAAAAATCACTGTTAACACTGAGCATGCTTTTGCGGTGCCTGGTGATCCACCGTGTGCATGTGCAGTACAAGCTGATACTGTGGTGGGAGCACCCACCTTCTCACTCTCTTGGCTTCCATTCCCAACCAGCTTTCATGAACCTCAGACTTAGGGGACTCTCCTGGAGTCTAGGTTTCTTCAGTTCAGCTGCTGGACTTATCTAACTTGGGGTGGCAAGTGGACTGACATTGGGATGCTGAATATTCCTCTTCAAGTAGAGGAAGAAGTGGAATGGATTGAATACCTTCTAAAGCCTCTCTACCCACCCTACACTGTCTCCCAAAGACACTGTATAATGGTATCATTTTGTGAGATGAATGAAAGGCTTCTTATAAAATTTATTTTCTTGTGTCAGTGGACTTGACATTCAGTGGCAGAAAGTAATATATATCAAAACCTTCCTTGTCAAAATGACAATCATGGTGAGCACAAAGTCACATATCTCAATCTCACACAAGGATGAGCTTGGGCAGTGCTAGTAAAAGATCATTATAACAGTAACAACTACTTGAGTAGCATATGCCAGGCCTCTGGCTAAGTACTCTAAACATGAGGGCATTTCATTCTCACTACAATCCTTGAGATAGCAGTGTAAGCAGAAGCAAACACACCTACAGGAGAGGGACAGGCAGTACCTTTTTAGCCAGGTTTAAATGTTTGTGTTTCACTGGTTCATGCAGAGCGATCAGTGAACCAGAGAAGCATTCATTGCAGCATCATTTGCCTGTACAGAGGACTGCACTCCTGGATCATCAGGAGCAAAGTGCACAGGCATCTGCAGCATTCTTCCGTATGACGTGAAACTACTCCGGCGACATAGACTATCCTTTAGGATATCAAGAGAAGTACAAGACTTGAGTCTTCATTTGAATGGCTTTCCTGGAATCCACTCTTTAATACTTAGCATTCCCTCTGTAGACTTTTGGCTTTTAGACCCACAATATATGCAGATAGAGAATATTTTACTCTTAGAAAGATGGAATCAGTGGCTTAGGCTTTCTTCCCTGAACCGAGAATTGTTCTGATTTCTATAGAGACTAAATAAGTATACAAGTAATACTTCCTCATACTTATTAGAGCAATGGAGTTATCAGGTTGGACCCTCTGATGTCACTGAATTCACACATGGTGGGATGATTATTATTTCAAATGCATTCAACTTGTGAGGAAAGCGTTGCATTTCCACTTGCTGCTGATGTACAAAACAAGGTGGAGTGAGTATTGCCCAGGTCCCCCTGATGTGAGAACTGGAGCCAGATCTCAGGTACAGATCCCTCTACCTGCAAATCCCTTAAAACATTTCCAATTAAGTTGACAGAAGTCTTTCCACATGGGAACATCACTTACCTCTGCCTCATTTCTGCTAAAAGCCATTCACAAATTCAAAATTTTCTTCTGAGGTTTTGTCACAATGGATCATCAGCTCCACATTCTGGCCACTCACTATTAATTGGAGATGCACTGTTGGATAAAGATGCAGGGAACAAGAGCAGAGTGAGGGTGATATTTGGCACTAGGATTAAGATACTGCTTGTAAAGACATGCTGTATATCACTGGCTGGGCAAACATCGCAGTTCAGTTTCCTCTTTCCAGTTCCTGGGAGGAAGATTGGAAAATACTGCCATCAATGTGGGGGTCCTGAATTAAGGTCTATTCTTCACTCTTAAGGCTGGCCCAGGCCAAGCTGTTGCAGGCATTAGTATAGTAACACAGAGGATGGGAAATCTCCCTCTCACTGGTTCCCCCTCTTCCTTTCTCTGCCTTTAAAATCAGTAGAAATATGTTGCTATTATAGAAATAAGAAACTGAGGCATGATAATGTGAAAAAACGCATTATTGCTATTATTATTGAAGTAAAATTCAGCTACCATAAAATCTACCACTGTTAGGAATACATTTGTTATATTGCAAAGAGTTTTCAATATCATCCCCAATTCTAGAATATTTTGATAAACTCTCCATTTATATCTTTTTTTTTTGACAGGCAGAGTGGACAGTGAGAGAGAGAGACAGAGAGAAAGGTCTTCCTTTGCCATTGGTTCACCCTCCAATGGCTGCCGCAGCCGGCGTGCTGCGGCCAGCACACTGCGCTGATCTGATGGCAGGAGCTGGGTGCTTATCCTGGTCTCCCATGGGGTGCAGGGCCCAAGTACTTGGGCCATCCTCCACTGCACTCCCTGGCCACAGCAGAGAGCTGGCCTGGAAGAGGGGCAACCGGGACAGAATCTGGCACCCCGACCAGGACTAGAACCTGGAGTGCCAGTGCCGCAAGGTGGAGGATTACCCTAGTGAGCCGTGGCGCCAGCCTCTCCATTTCTATCTTACAATTCCTGGCATCCACTCCCCCACATTCTCTCTGGAGATCCCATTTGGAATATTTCTGGTGCATAGAATAATACATTTGGCACTTTGCACCTGGCTTCTTTCACTTTGTGTAACATTTTCAAGGGTTATCCAGGTTGTAGCATGTATATGTACTTACACAGAATTCTATACATGAGGTCTCCTGTCTGTTTCCACCTGCATCCTGTTGGATGTTCAGAGGGTGTAATGCTACCTGTGAAATCTATTAGCATCTATGGATTACAGTGCTATATTCACTTAATGCTGTGGCTACTCTTTTGGTATAGCAGGTCCAGACTGCCACCCGTGATGTTTGCATCCATATGAACATTGTTTCATATACTCGCTACCCTACTTTCAATCCAACACATTTTTAATGGCCAAGGAAAGCAGGAAAGGATGACCCAAGTACGTGGATGCCTGTAACTCATTTGAAAGGCCTGGATGAAGCTCCTGGCTTCTGGCTTTTGCCTCGCCCAGCCTTGCCTGTTGCAGTCATCTGGGGAATGAGCCAGCAGTTGACAAAATCTCTCTGTCTCTCCCTCTTGTTTTGTAACTCTGACTTTCAAATAAATTAATAAATGTTTTATGCACATAATTATAGCAGCAACAGTTTAGAATAGGCACTTCTTTGGTTGGATCAGAAACTAAAATTTGAGAAGTAGAAGCTCAGTCATTATTTGTGACCTTTTCTTGAATAAACACATTTTCATTTCTGGTGTATTACTGCTCTGCTGACGTGTTATTACCCTTACAGAAGTCATTGCTGGCTCAAGTCAGAAAGAGGATCATCTGTAAAGGATGACTGTAGAAAGTGGGCTAAATGGTCAGTGTCTACAGAGGCAAATGGTACTCTCTCACTGTTTTTTTCTAAGGTTTTTCTCTTAGCCAGCTCATCAGCTTGTTCCAGAGCAATAGATCATTTCCTCCGGTATCTCTAGGCTATTATGAACTCCACCCTGTCTCTTCCTATTGCACCCACAAACAAATTCATTACCTTGAATTGGCCCTGCAGGCAGAGCTTCTTCTCCAACTTGTTGAAGTGTGTTCAGGTCCTACTACTTCTATTAGACCAGAGCCTCATGGTCATATTCTTATTCTACAGGAAGTGGTGCATCCACTCCCTATAAACCTAATCTGGGTCCATCAGGGAAGCTCCCTGGCCAGGTACACAAGTCACTGTGGAGTAAGTTCCTCTCCCAATCCTTACTGCTCAGCTCAGGTTGCCCCTTGAGGAGCTGGAGTAGATCAAACAAAAGTCAGAGTTTCTTTAAGTTTCTGATTCAGGTTATATTATTCTCACCCTCTTTTGGTGACATTTTATATAGTGTTACCTGTTATTTCTTGGTCTAATTCTTGTCCCAAAACAGGCTTTCTTTCTTTGGTGTGCTCCCTTGGCTCTTGAATCACAAGATGTACCTCAGCCCAGATGCTACAGGAGACAAAGAATAAAGACCAAGTTCACCTCTAAGTTGTAGTTCACCAGGCATATGTTACACACATCACTAGCCCCCAGGGACTCAGAGAAGTCTCATAAGGGACCTCAGAGTGGTAGAACATTGGGAGGGAAAGCTTAATGAACTGCTACTCGAATTCCATGCAGATCTCACATGGGTAGGAAAAAAAGTGGGGGGGGGAATGTGCATCTCTATTCCCTCTGCCATCACTGCTACTGTGGAGACCTGTGGCCAGCAGAGGGAGAGCCTACACCCAGTGTTGGACACAGGCAAGGAGCAGATGCACAAGCTTTAGTGTCAGTTGCACACCACTGGTTGTCTGGTAATGAGAGAAGAGGGGGAAAGCTGCATAAGGGAGCCTTTTACAAGCCAGTACAATTGAGTGGCAAGTGGGGCTGAAGCAATTGAATATCTGGCATGCCTACAAACCACAGATATAACCAGAGAGAAAAGAAGTCTACAAATACCATGAACAAAGGCAACAATCAAAAAATCAAAAATAAGGATGACACTATGAGACCCCCAAAGGAACATCACAATATGTCAATATTAGAAAATGATGGTGAAAAGATTAAGGAAATGCCAGAAACAGAATTCAAAAAATTAATCATTGGATTACATAGAAGCAATCAGAAGCAAATTCATGAACTAAAGAAAAAATATATGATTGAAAATTTTTCATTTGAAATTGAGGTTTTAAAGAGAAATCAAAATGAAATACAAGAAATGAAGAATTCAATAGCTCACATAAAATTTTTAGTGAAAAGTCTTAACAACAGAGTAGGTGAGGCAGAAGAAAGAATATCTAAGCTAGAACACAAATCCCTGAAAATTTTATAGTCAGACCAAAAGCAAGAAGAAATCAGAAAACAAAAATACTGTTGAAGAGCTGGAAGAAGCTCCTGGCTCCTGGCTTTGCATGAGCCAAGCTACAGCCATTATGGCCAATCAGGGAGTGAGCCAGCAGATGGAAAACCTCTCTCTCTCTCTTTTTCTCTCTTTCTCTCTCCCTCTCCTTATCTCTCTATGCAACTCATACTTTCAAATAAATAAATAAATCTTTAGAAAAAAAGAAGTGGAGTAGCCAGGACTGAAACTGGCAACCATATGGGATGGACATTGCAGGCAGTGGCTTTACTTGCTGTCACAAGGCTGGCCACTTTCAATTTTTTTTTTAATTATTTATTTGAAAGGCAGACTGACAGAGCAGAGAAAGAAAGACATAGAGACAAACATCTTCCATCTACTGGTTCACTCCCCAAATGGCCACAACAGCAAGGGCTGGGCCAGGCTACAGCCAGGAACCTAGAATTCCATCCAGGTCTCCTAGATGGGTGGCAAGGGGACCAAGTATTTGGGTTGCTCTCTCATGCACATTAACAGGGAACTGGATCATAAGTGGAGCAGCTGAAACTTGAACTGGGGCTGTGATATGGGATGCTGGTGTCATAGGCAATGGTTTAACCTGGTGCACCAAAATTCCAGCCCCCATTTGCCCATGTATTTTACTCTCTGTATATCAACTTCCACAAATAATAAAAAGCATTTGATATTTGTCTTTGTGAGTCTGGGTTAATTCACTTAGCTGATGAAGTCCATTCCATCCATTTTGTTGCAAATGTCAAAATTTCATTCCTTTTTCATAGCAAGTTAAACAATTCTTATGTAAAAGTATCTCTTTTATATCCAGTAATGTTTGCAGACATCTATTTTTTTATACTTTTCGGAAGGTTTAATTTTTTTAGAAACCATTTACTTAATGTGTATAAATTTCATGAGTATGTCTTTAGGAATACAGTGATTCTTCCTGTCATATCCACCCTCCCACCCCACTTCCCTCCCCTCTTACTACTCCTTCTCATTCCCAGATCCATTCTCCATTAAGATTCATTTTAATTAACTTTATATACAGAAGACCAACTCTATACTAAGTAAATATTTCAACTATTTGTACACAAGAACACAATATATATAAAAAACTGAGAACAAGTTTTACAGTGGAATTTAATAGTATGACTTTTTTAGGACCAAGGTCCTGCATGGGAAGTAAGTGTACAGTGACTTCGCTGTTAATATGTCTTGAAATCTGGTATGGTAATGCCTCAGGCTTTGTGTTTGTGGTATACAATTGTTTTAGCTGATCAAGGTCACCTGTGTTTCCAAATGAATTACAGCATCACTTTTTCTAGATCTGAGAACAATGATTTTGGTATTTTAATTGTTATTGAACTGAATCTGTAAATTGCTCTTGGAAGTATGGACATTTTGGTGATACTGATTCTTCCAATCCATGAGCATAGAAGTTTTTTTTTTTTCGATTTTATGTGTCTTCTTTTTTTTCTTTAGTGTTTTATAATTCTCATTGCACAAGTCTTTGACATCCTATGTTTATTCCTAGGTAAATTTATTCCTAGATCTCTTTTTCCCTCAACATCTCTTTCTCTGTCACTCCCTCTTTCTCTGTCACTCCTTCTTTCTCTGTCACTCTGCCTTTTAAATAATAATAATAATAATAATAGAATGGCCAACAGACATTTGAAAAAAATACTCAGGATCACAAGCCATCAGGGAGATGTAAATCAAAACCACAATGAGGTTTCAACTCACTCCAGTCAGAATGGCACTCACACAGAATTCAAGTAACAGATGCTGGTGAGGATGTGTGGAAAAAGGTATCCTAATTCACTGTTGCTGGGAATGTAAACTGGTGTAGCTACTGTGCAAGACAGTCTGGAGATACCTCTGAAGTCTGAATATATACCTACCACATGACCCAGCCATCCCACTCCTGGAAATTTAGCCAAACCAAAAGAAATCAACATATGAAGGTGTTATCTGTATACCCATGTCCACTGCAGCACAATTCACAGTAGCTAAGATATGGAATCAACTCAGATGTCCCTCAGCTGTTGACTGGATAAAGGAATTATGGCATATACACTATGGAGTACTACTCAGCTGTAAAAAAATGAAATCCTCTCTTTTGCAACAAAATGAATGCAAGTGGAAACCATTATACTTACTGAAATAAGCCAGTCTCAAAAAGACAGATACCATATGTTTTCCCTGATCCAAGGTAACTAATAGAGTACCTGAATTGTAATGTGTTGTAGTGAAATGGACATTTTGAGGTATCTGATGATTGTTTACAGCCTTTGTCTCATCTATTGAGGAGCAGTGGGTTTTTTTTCTTCATACTATTTGTCGAACTCCTTTATTTAGGGTAGGGTTAACTTGATGATCATTAACTAAACTGAAAGTAGATCTTTATAAAAATTAAGAGTGAGAATGAGATAGGGAAGAGAAAGAATGGTTGGAGCATGGGTGGGAGGGAGGATAGGGTAGGAAGTATCACTGTGTTCCTAAATCTGTATATATTAAATACATGAAACTTGTATAACTTAAATAAAATTTTTAGAAATGTGATTCCAAATTCTGCAGAAAGAAAAAGAATACAAGAAAATAAAAAATAATAATAAAACTAGTCACCATACAGTGATACACATGAGAGCTTATGCTAACACTGATTTATAATCTTAGTGAGTTTTCCATTGATAAACTGTCAACTACCAGTCTTCTGAGCGAGCCCAAACTCCAGTAGTCTCAACTGATATAATCATAACCCCTTGAAGATTCACAGACAGTAACTGATCAACTGAGTCCAGGAAGCTCACTAAATCCACTAAGGCATGAGAGTTCAGAACAATCTATTCCTGGAGCCAACATTATGGCATAGCAGATAAAGCTACCACCTGCAGGGCTGGCATCCCACATGAGCACCTGTTCAAGTCCCAGCTGCTCCACTTCTGATTCAGCTTCTTGCTAATATGCCTGGGAGTGCTGCAAATGAGCCAAAAACTTGGGACCCTGCTACCTATGTTGGATATCCAGATGGAGTTCAAGGTTCCTGGTTTCAGATTACCTCAGCCCCAGCTATTGTTGCCATTTGGGGTATGAAACAGAGAGGGGAAAATGTCTCTCTGTCTCTTCCTCTCTCTGAATAAATAATATAATATAATAAATAAACAAATAAATAATCCTTTTACAATAATATATTATTTATATCCTTTTACAATAATATATTATTAAGTTATTGCATTTTGAAATTAGAATGTTACATCAGATAAAAGGAAAAGAAGATAATTTCGCAAATGTAGAAATAGTGTGCTCATCTCCATAGAAGGTGGGTGGAGGAGGAAGAAAAAAGAGCAGAAATAAAAGATACATGATAGTTACAGATTTATGAATTAGAGATAGACATTTGGCCTAGAGGTTAAAATATTGGTTGGGTTGCCATGTCCCATATCTGAGTATTTGGGCTCAAGTCCCAGCTTTGCCCCAGATTCCAGTTTCCTGCCAATGCAGATCCTAGGAGGCAGTGGTAATGCCTCAAATAATTTGGCCCTTGCCTTCCACTTTGGTTCAGGAATTGAGCTCCTGGCTCCAAGCTTAAGCATGGCACTGCCTCAGCCATTGCATGCACTTGAGATATGGCTCAGTAGATGGGAGCTCTCTCTGTGTCTGTGTGAGTGTGCTTCTCAAGAAATAAACAAAACAATTTTGCCAATTATTACTGTTCCTATTTCACTCAAACCACCAAAAGCATACAAGATAATAACTAAACTATATTAACCTTTCTTGAGTGACGAGGACTCTACTAGATGCCCTCTGTTAGAGTCCTTATTTTTCTTGGCTGTTTATAAATCATTGATCACAATTTTTAAGGTATGCCACTCCTTGACTTAAGGTTAAAAAAAAAGCAGGCTCAGAGAGGATAATTAATTTTCTTCATATCACACATCTAAGGGTTGACACAAACCAGTTGTGGAGTTAAGTCTTTCTAAACCCAAAGGCGGGACTAGCATTGTGGTACAGTGGGTTAAGATTCAGCCTGCTGTGCCAGCTTCCCATATAGCAGTGGTTCAAGTCCCAGCTGCTCTTCTTCCAGCCAGCTCTCTGCTATGGCATGGGAAAG